TTGTGGCTGGTGATTGATGATGTTTGTATGTGACTGGTGATTGATGATGTTTGTGGCTGGTGATTGATGATGTTTGTGGCTGGTGATTGATGATGTTTGTGGCTGGTGATTGATGATGTTTGTGGCTGGTGATTGATGATGTTTGTGGCTGGTGATTGATGATGTTTGTGGCTGGTGATTGATGATGTTTGTGGCTGGTGATTGATGATTTTTGCGGCTGGTGATTGATGATGTTTGTGGCTGGTGATTGATGATGTTTGTATGTGGCTGGTGATTGATGATGTTTGTGGCTGGTGATTGATGATGTTTGTGGCTGGTGATTGATGATGTTTGTGGCTGGTGATTGATGATGTTTGTATGTGACTGGTGATTGATGATGTTTGTGGCTGGTGATTGATGATGTTTGTGGCTGGTGATTGATGATGTTTGTGGCTGGTGATTGATGATGTTTGTGGCTGGTGATTGATGATGTTTGTGGCTGGTGATTGATGATGTTTGTGGCTGGTGATTGATGATGTTTGTGGCTGGTGATTGATGATGTTTGTATGTGACTGGTGATTGATGATGTTTGTGGCTGGTGATTGATGATGTTTGTGGCTGGTGATTGATGATGTTTGTATGTGGCTGGTGATTGATGATGTTTGTGGCTGGTGATTGATGATGTTTGTATGTGGCTGGTGATTGATGATGTTTGTGGCTGGTGATTGATGATGTTTGTGGCTGGTGATTGATGATGTTTGTGGCTGGTGATTGATGATGTTTGTGGCTGGTGATTGATGATGTTTGTATGTGGCTGGTGATTGATGATGTTTGTGGCTGGTGATTGATGATGTTTGTATGTCGCTGGTGATTGATGATGTTTGTGGCTGGTGATTGATGATGTTTGTGGCTGGTGATTGATGATGTTTGTATGTGGCTGGTGATTGATGATGTTTGTATGTGGCTGGTGATTGATGATGTTTGTGGCTGGTGATTGATCATGTTTGCCTGTGGCTGGTGATTGATGTTTGTGGCTGGTGATTGATGATGTTTGTATGTGGCTGGTGATTGATGATGTTTGTGGCTGGTGATTGATGATGTTTGTGGCTGGTGATTGATGATGTTTGTGGCTGGTGATTGATGATGTTTGTGGCTGGTGATTGATGATGTTTGTATGTGGCTGGTGATTGATGATGTTTGTGGCTGGTGATTGATGATGTTTGTATGTCGCTGGTGATTGATGATGTTTGTGGCTGGTGATTGATGATGTTTGTGGCTGGTGATTGATGATGTTTGTATGTGGCTGGTGATTGATGATGTTTGTATGTGGCTGGTGATTGATGATGTTTGTGGCTGGTGATTGATCATGTTTGCCTGTGGCTGGTGATTGATGTTTGTGGCTGGTGATTGATGATGTTTGTATGTGGCTGGTGATTGATGATGTTTGTGGCTGGTGATTGATGATGTTTGTGGCTGGTGATTGATGATGTTTGTGGCTGGTGATTGATGATTTTTGCGGCTGGTGATTGATGATGTTTGTGGCTGGTGATTGATGATGTTTGTATGTGGCTGGTGATTGATGATGTTTGTGGCTGGTGATTGATGATGTTTGTATGTGGCTGGTGATTGATGATGTTTGTATGTGGCTGGTGATTGATGATGTTTGCCTGTGGCTGGGGATTGATGATGTTTGTGGCTGGTGATTGATGATGCTTGCCTGTGGCTGGTGATTGATGATGTTTGTGGCTGGTGATTGATGATGTGTGTATGTGGCTGGTGATTGATGATGTTTGTGGCTGGTGATTGATGATGTTTGTGGCTGGTAAATTGATGATGTTTGTATGTGGCTGGTGATTGATGATGTTTGTGGCTGGTGATTGATGATGTTTGTGGCTGGTGATTGATGATGTTTGTATGTGGCTGGTAATTGATGATGTTTGTATGTGGCTGGTGATTGATTATGTTTGTGACTGGTGATTGATGATGTTTGTGGCTGGTGATTGATGATGTTTGTATGTGGCTGGTGATTGATGATGTTTGTGGCTGGTGATTGATGATGTTTGTGGCTGGTAAATTGATGATGTTTGTATGTGGCTGGTGATTGATGATGTTTGTGGCTGGTGATTGATGATGTTTGTGGCTGGTGATTGATGATGTTTGTATGTGGCTGGTAATTGATGATGTTTGTATGTGGCTGGTGATTGATTATGTTTGTGACTGGTGATTGATGATGTTTGTGGCTGGTGATTGATGATGTTTATGGCTGGTAAATTGATGATGTTTGTATGTGGCTGGTGATTGATGATGTTTGTGGCTGGTGATTGATGATGTTTGTGGCTGGTGATTGATGATGTTTGTATGTGGCTGGTAATTGATGATGTTTGTATGTGGCTGGTGATTGATTATGTTTGTGACTGGTGATTGATGATGTTTGTGGCTGGTGATTGATGATGTTTGTATGTGGCTGGTGATTGATGATGTTTGTGGCTGGTGATTGATGATGTTTGTGGCTGGTGATTGATGATGTTTGTAGGTGGCTGGTGATTGATGATGTTTGTGGCTGGTGATTGATGATGTTTGTATGTGGCTGGTGATTGATGATGTTTGTGGCTGGTGATTGATGATGTTTGTATGTGGCTGGTGATTGATGATGTTTGTGGCTGGTGATTGATGATGTTTGTATGTGGCTGGTGATTGATGATGTTTGTGGCTGGTGATTGATGATGTTTGTATGTGGCTGGTGATTGATGATGTTTGTATGTGGCTGGTGATTGATGATGTTTGCCTGTGGCTGGGGATTGATGATGTTTGTGGCTGGTGATTGATGATGTTTGTATGTGGCTGGTGATTGATGATGTTTGTGGCTGGTGATTGATGATGTTTGTATGTGGCTGGTGATTGATGATGTTTGTGGCTGGTGATTGATGATGTTTGTGGCTGGTGATTGATGATGTTTGTATGTGGCTGGTGATTGATGATGTTTGTGGCTGGTGATTGATGATGTTTGTATGTGGCTGGTGATTGATGATGTTTGTGGCTGGTGATTGATGATGTTTGTGGCTGGTGATTGATGATGTTTGTATGTGGCTGGTGATTGATGATGTTTGTGGCTGGTGATTGATGATGTTTGTATGTGGCTGGTGATTGATGATGTTTGTGGCTGGTGATTGATGATGTTTGTATGTGGCTGGTGATTGATGATGTTTGTGGCTGGTGATTGATGATGTTTGTGGCTGGTGATTGATGATGTTTGTATGTGGCTGGTGATTGATGATGTTTGTGGCTGGTGATTGATGATGTTTGTATGTGGCTGGTGATTGATGATGTTTGCCTGTGGCTGGTGATTGATGATGTTTGCCTGTGGCTGGTGATTGATGATGTATGTGGCTGGTGATTGATGATGTTTGTATGTGGCTGGTGATTGATGATTTTTGTGGCTGGTGATTGATGATGTTTGTGGCTGGTGATTGATGATGTTTGTGGCTGGTGATTGATCATGCTTGCCTGTGGCTGGTGATTGATGATGTTTGTGGCTGGTGATTGATGATGTTTGTGGCTGGTGATTGATGATGTTTGTGGCTGGTAAATTGATGATGTTTGTATGTGGCTGGTGATTGATGATGTTTGTGGCTGGTGATTGATGATGTTTGTGGCTGGTGATTGATGATGTTTGTGGCTGGTGATTGATGATGTTTGTGGCTGGTGATTGATGATGTTTGTATGTGGCTGGTGATTGATGATGTTTGTATGTGGCTGGTGATTGATGATGTTTGTGGCTGGTGATTGATGATGTTTGTGGCTGGTGATTGATGATGTTTGTATGTGGCTGGTGATTGATGATGTTTGTGGCTGGTGATTGATGATGTTTGTATGTGGCTGGTGATTGATGATGTTTGTGGCTGGTGATTGATGATGTTTGTATGTGGCTGGTGATTGATGATGTTTGTGGCTGGTGATTGATGATGTTTGTGGCTGGTGATTGATGATGCCAACTTTCTCACTCAACTTCTTGTCCCAGTCAATTGTCTTGACCCAGTCAACTGTCTTGTTCCAGTCAAGTGTCTTGTCCCAGTCAACTGTCTCAGTCAACTGTCTCAGTCAACTGTCTCAGTCAACTGTCTTGTTCCAGTCAAGTGTCTTGACCCAGTCAACTGTCCCAGACAACTGTCTTGTCCCAGTCAATTGTCTTGACCCAGTCAACTGTCTCAGTCAGCTGTCTTGTCCCAGTCAACTGTCTCAGTCAAGTGTCTTGTCCCAGTCAACTGTCTTAGTCAACTGTCTCAGTCAACTGTCTCAGTCAACTGTCTCAGTCAACTGTCTTGTTCCAGTCAAGTGTCTTGACCCAGTCAACTGTCCCAGACAACTGTCTTGTCCCAGTCAATTGTCTTGACCCAGTCAACTGTCTCAGTCAGCTGTCTTGTCCCAGTCAACTGTCTCAGTCAAGTGTCTTGTCCCAGTCAACTGTCTTAGTCAACTGTCTCAGTCAACTGTCTCAGTCAACTGTCTCAGTCAACTGTCTTGTTCCAGTCAAGTGTCTTGACCCAGTCAACTGTCCCAGACAACTGTCTTGTCCCAGACAACTGTCTTGTCCCAGTCAAGTGTCTTGTCCCAGTCAAGTGTCCCAGTCAACTGTCTTGTCCCAGTCAAGTGTCTTGTCTCAGTCAAGTATCTGAGTCGAGTATCCCATTCAAGTGGCGTGTGTGAGATATCTCTACGTGTGTTATTGCCTTCGCCTCTCCCATTACATTATGTGAGGGTGGGGGTGTGTCGCCTCTCCCTTTACATTATGTGAGGGTGGGGGTGTGGTGGGGCTCATCCATTATTTCTCAAAAGCATGGCTGAGAGGGTTAGCTAGAGCCATTACGGCTGAAGACTAGCCTGGAGATGTTGCCAGATTTAGGTGGAGGAATGTCCATTGTGTTCGTTTGACTAACAGCTTTCTGTAAGTTTAGAGGCAACTGTATAGTAAACCTCTAACGTCTGAACTTCTTAAGGTTAACACCGCTTGAGCAGAGGTCAATGACAGGGCTGTAGCCTCCATCTAGTCTTGGTGGCGGGGCTGAGGTGTTGACCACAGGATGGTGAAGGGGCCGTTCGGATCTAAACTCCCGCATCAATGGAGCGCCAACCGGTACGTCGAGATACCTCTAGAGACAATCAAACATGGTAAGTTTTTTGTCTTTAGAACACAGCACTGACCACTACACTGACCACTACACTGACCACTACACTGACCACTACACTGACCACTACACTGACCACTACACTGACCACTACACTGACCACTACACTGACCACTACACTGACCACTACACTGACCACTACACTGACCACTACACTGACTGTGATGACGCAAGTGTAGAAGTAGATCAAACAGGAGAAAATGTACAATAACAAGAGGTCAAGCACACGAGCTAAGTAGATTAGCTAGAATAGGAAGGAACCAATGAGAAGTGAGATGCAGTGAAGCGTCAGAGTTAGCAGTTGAGGAAAGAGTTTATCAACTGTTGGTCATTGAAGCGTGTTGCAGTTGGAGACAGACATTGTTAGGAAATAGTTGAGTTGGACTTTGAGATAAGTTAGGAAATAGTTAAAGGTATTAAAAGTAATGTGCAATACAGTAAAGGGTATGAGTAGAAGCTGATATGTGTAAAGAAACAATAAAACATCTTATCCTTTTCCACCACACTGACCACTGGACTGACCTCCACACTGACCACTGGACTGACCTCCACACTGACCACTGGACTGACCTCCACACTGACCACTGGACTGACCACCACACTGACCATTGGACTGACCTCTACACTGACCACTGGACTGACCTCCACACTAACCACTGGACTGACCTCTACACTGACCACTGGACTGACCTCCACACTGACCACTGGACTGACCTCCACACTGACCTCCACACTGACCACTGGACTGACCTCCACACTGACCTCCACACTGACCACTGGACTGACCTCCACACTGACCTCCACACTGACCACTGGACTGACCTCCACACTAACCACTGGACTGACCTCCACACTGACCACTGGACTGACCTCCACACTGACCACTGGACTGACCTCCACACACTGACCCCATTAGGCCACAGGATGGACCCCCAGGAGAGGATCTTCCTAGACGCGGTGGAGAAGGGGGACAAGTCAAGCGTCATCCGCTGCCTGAGCAGCCAGCCGGCCGTCAGCGTCAACTGTACAGACATGCTGGGCCGCTCGGCCATACAGATAGCCGTGGACAATGAGAACATTGAGCTGGTCGAGCTGCTCCTGAGGCAGGAGGGTGTTAAGATAGGTGGGTGCTATGAGGGGGGGGGGTGTGTGCATTAGGGTGGATTTTTGGCTGGATTTAGAAGGAAACGTTGCTATATCAGAGGTAGAAAATGTTCAAATGGTAGGTTGGCACGAGATGTAAACATGGGTCGCCTGGCTGCCCTTTAACCTGCCTGTGAAGTGTGAATGTCTGCCTGTGAAGTGTGAATGTCTGCCTGTGAAGTGTGAATGTCTGCCCGTGAAGTGTGAATGTCTGCCTGTGAATTGTGAATACCTGCCTGTGAATATCTGACTGAATACCTGCATGTGAATGCCTGCCTGTGAATACCTGCCTGTCCACAGGCGATGCCCTGCTGTATGCCATAAGAGAAGGCGTCTACAGGATCGTGGAGATGTTGATAGAACACCCGTCCATCTCCAGGGAAATGCTCGGTGCGGACTGGTCTCGAACCCGCTACGTTGATGATGAAAGTTTTGATTACTCACCAGATATATCTCCAGGTAATATGACGTCACATGATGACGTGACTCACGCGTATTCAAGTAATGACCTTGTCAGACCTTTGACCTTGTCAGACCCTGTCAGACCTTTGACTCCCCCTGCCTGATATTTGACATTGTCTGACTGTCACGGCCTTTTTGTACTGTCAACTTCATGGCACAAACTCAAGACAAATACCAACCGCATCACTGTTGTGTTATTGCATATTAAGGCCTGATGGATAACACCAAACAACTCTTGTCCTGGTAATTTACACAATTTTATTGATTCAAAGATACAACAGCTTCATTACCAAACAACGCCATTTTCTCTTCCCGCTTCCTCTCCACTTCCACTTTCTTTTGCGCATGCGCCCACCCAAAATATATTTTAGATTTATATAGCCTTTTTACACCCCACTCGAAACATGCATTCACCCTACATTTGAATGTTACATATGCCCTTTCTCCCCTTTAAAAAATTAATTTATTAATTTTTTCTTATATACATCACATTCACTATAAAATCTTCATTATACATGTAACAGTTAAATGAAAATCATATTGAAAAAGAAACTTGCTAATGAACATCCTAAATTATATTATATGTACACTTACCAAATTGAAACAATGATATTCATAAAATACATGGCAAAATGCAAAGCTTCACTTATCTTATAAGTATCGCCACTAAGGAAAATTGTAACTAAGGTAAACCTTCTTAGTTTAATAATAACAAATGACTCTAACTAAGGAACATCTCTTCTTAATATAACAAAAATTCATTAAACCTCACTAAGGAATATTACCTCTTAGTGTATCTCAAAATAAATCTAACTAAGGAAAACTCTCTCTTAGTAGAACAAAACCATAGCTATGCAATAGCTCCCATGGGCAAATCATATCCTTGATTTCCCTACTTCAATGGCTGAGGTCTCAGGTCATTATTTTCTTTAGTCAGTTCTATGTTTGTTTTTTCATCTTCAATCTGTCTTGACAAGAAATCAGCTAGTGTATTGTGCTGTCCCATTACTATTTTTATCTCAAACTTGAAATCTAATAAAATCAGTGCCCATCTATTTATTTTGCTATTCATTATCATTTTCTTATTGATTGTGATCAATGGCTTATGATCTATTCTAAGAGTAAGGTTTCTTCCCAATAAATACTTCTGTAATTTATTCAATGCCCACACAATTGCTAGGCACTCTCAATCACTGCATATCTTTGTTCTGTTGGTGATAATGCCCTGCTAAGGTATTGTACTGGGTATAGTTTATTACCCTTTTCTTGCATTAAGCAAGCTCCTAACGCTATATTTGATGCATCAGTAAAAAGAGTGAAATGCTTACTAAAATCTGATGACATCGGTACCTTGTTACTCATGAATTCAGCCTTTATTTTATTTAAAGCACTTTCACATTCCTGTGTCCATGCTAGTTTAACTTTGTCTTTGGATAGCAATTCTCTTAAAGGAGTAGTAAGTTCAGCATATTTATCTACAAAAATATTATAAAAATTGCATAGTCCTAACAATGATTTCACATCCCTTTTTGTACTAGGAGTTTTGATATTTAATATTTTGTCCCTATTTCCTTCAGTAGGTCTAATTTCTTTATTTCCGACCTTAAATCCTAAGAATTCTACTGTATCTACTCCCACATGCAGTATTTCTGGTGCTATTGTAACCCCATGTTTTCTCAGTATTTCTAGTAGTTCTTTTAGTGTTTCTATGTGTTCTTGTCTCAACCGCTGCTCCAATTTGACTTGCCCATCTATCTATATCTTCCTCATTACTTTCTTTCACCTCCTTTCCATTCCCAATAATCATATCTGCTATTGGTTCTTCCATGACCGCCACTTTATATTTACCTTTCAGCCAAGCAGAATCTATATCAACTACTGCTATCTCACACTCATCCTTAAATTTCTTGTTGGCATATGTCATCTTCATTATGCCAGGAATGTACTGTTTGGTCTTACAAGACTTTTCTTAACAATAATGCATGTGCAACCTGAATCTCTCAGACACATTACTCTGGTGTTGTTTACTATAGCTGGGAACATCTTCAGTGTTGTATTGCTTTGTCTAACAGATGCCACCGTCTCTGACCCTTCTACCCCTGCTGATGTCTCTTGATTGTTATTTCTACTATTTCTATTTTCTCCCTTGTTGTCTGGTCCCATTCTTGGCTGTCTACTTTGATTGTGGAATTCATTTCTACTTTGTCCACTATACTGTCCTTGTCTGTAATAATTACTTTGATTTCTATAATTATTATTAGGTGCATAACCTCCTCTGTTATTATTGCTGAGATATGTATCTCTATTTTGTAAGCTGAAACACTCAGACTTTACGTGGCCTGTTTTCCCACAATGGTAACACTCTGTGCTTCTGCTATATTTATATCTGTCTGGTTTCCATTTGGTAGGTGCACTATTACTTATATCTCTCTTGTTGTTGACATACTTTCTTTGATCCCTGCCAAAGTTTCTACTGTAGACTTCCTGACCTTGTACCGCCCTGTCTGACCTTGTCCCGCCCTGTCTGACCTTGACTCGCCCTGCCTGACCTTTGACCTTGTCTGACCCAGTGATGCTGGCGGCCCACTGCAACCAGTTTGAGATCCTTCAGCTCCTGCTGGTCCATGGCGCCAACATCGACCGTCCGCACCAGCTGTCGTGTTCATGTGCTCGCTGTCAGGCCAGGGTCCATGAAGACAGGTAAACTAGACAGGTAAACTAGACAGGTAAACAAGACAGGTAAACAAGACAGGTAAACTAGACAGGTAAACAAGACAGGTAAACAAGACAGGTAAACAAGACAGGTAATAAAGACAGGTAAACAAGACAGGTAAACAAGACAGGTAAACTAGACAGGTAAACAAGACAGGTAAACAAGACAGGTAAACAAGACAGGTAAACAAGACAGGTAAACAAGACAGGTAAACAAGACAGGTAAACAAGACAGGTAAACAAGACAGGTAAACAAGACAGGTAAACAAGTGAGGTAAACAAAACAGGTAAACTAGACAGGTAACAAGACAGGTAAACAAGACAGGTAAACAAGACAGGTAAACAAGACAGGTATACTAGGCAGGTAAACAAGGCAGGTAAACAAGACAGGTAAACAAGACAGGTAAACAAGACAGGTAAACAAGACAGGTAAACTAGAGAGGCAAACTAGGCAGGTAAACAAGACAGGTAAACCAGGCAGGTAAACAAGACAGGTAAACAAGACAGGTAAACAAGACAGGTAAACAAGACAGGTAAACAAGACAGGTAAACTAGAGAGGCAAACTAGGCAGGTAAACAAGACAGGTAAACCAGGCAGGTAAACAAGACAGGTAAACAAGACAGGTAAACTAGGCAGGTAAACAAGACAGGTAAACAAGACAGGTAAACTAGGCAGGTAAACAAGACAGGTAAACAAGACAGGTAAACTAGGCAGGTAAACAAGACAGGTAAACAAGACAGGTAAACTAGGCAGGTAAACAAGACAGGTAAACAAGACAGGTAAACAAGACAGGTAAACAAGACAGGTAAACTAGACAGGTAAACAAGACAGGTAAACAAGACAGGTAAACAAGACAGGTAAACTAGACAGGTAAACTAGACAGGTAAACTAGGCAGGTAAACAAGACAGGTAAACAAGACAGGTAAACTAGGCAGGTAAACAAGACAGGTAAACAAAACAGGTAAACTAGACAGGTAAACTAGACAGGTAAACAAGACAGGAAAACAAGACAGGTAAACAAGACAGGTAATAAAGACAGGTAAACAAGACAGGTAAACTAGACAGGTAAACTAGGCAGGTAAACAAGACAGGTAAACTAGGCAGGTAAACAAGATAGGTAAACAAGACAGGTAAACTAGACAGGTAAACAAGACAGGTAAACTAGACAGGTAAACTAGGCAGGTAAACAAGACAGGTAAACAAGACAGGTAAACAAGACAGGTAAACAAGACAGGTAAACTAGGCAGGTAAACAAGACAGGTAAACAAGACAGGTAAACTAGGCAGGTGAACAAGACAGGTAAACAAGACAGGTAAACAAGACAGGTAAACTAGACAGGCGAACAAGACAGGTAAACAAGACAGTTAAACAAGACAGGTAAACAAGACAGGTAAACTAGACAGGCGAACAAGACAGTTAAACAAGACGGGTAAACAAGACAGTTAAACAAGACAGGTAAACAAGACAGGCAAACAAAACAGGTAAACAAGACAGGCAAACAAGACAGGTAAACAAGACAGGCAAACAAGACAGGTAAACAAGACAGGTTAAGAAGAGAGGCGAACAAGACAGCTAAATAAGACAGGCAAAAAATACATCCTTTAATAGAGGATATCGTCAATAAATGTGACAGAACAATGTAGGATATAAATGTGACAGAACAATGTAGGATATAAATGTGACAGAATAATGTAGGATATAAATGTGACAGAACATATAAATGTGACAAACAATGCAGGATATAAATGTCCAGTTTTGTCTGCAGTCTCCGCCACTCCCTGCTGAGGATCAATACGTACAAGGCCCTGGCCAGTCCTGCCTGGATCTCCCTGACCAGCGCTGACCCCGTCCTAACGGCATTTCAACTCTCCTGGGAACTGGACCATCTGGCTCTCAGGGAAAACGAATTTAAAGACACCTATCTCCAGGTAATATGGGCACTAGACGTGGGCTGACAACACATGATAGACATGTGTACTACATTGCTGCGACTACGTTTAGATAACCTGACTAAAGCTACGGCACTCTCCCAAACTGAAAGTTAAGTATGAGCCAAACATGACCTCTGACCCTCACAGCTGGGCCAGCAGTGCCGGAAGTACGCCTGTGACCTGCTGGATCAGTGCCGGAGCAGTGAGGAGGTCACTGCTGTCCTCAACAGGACCAGCGAGGAGGACCTGCCCCAGGACACAGACAAGTTGACCTTGTCAAGGTTAAAGCTGGCCCTCAAGTTTGAGCAGAAGCAGGTGAGGTCAAAGGTCACGATCTGGGGTAAATCTCTCCGTCTAAAGTTAGCCTTAAATTTTACTTCTAACTAACCTAAACTAACCTTAATATAACCCTACTGTTAAGGTTCGGTGTATTGTAAGCATCAGGTTTAGGCAGGGGCGTAGTGGGGTGGGGAGGGCGGACCGCACCGGGTGACACCATTTAGGGGGGGTGTCATCAAGGCAAAAAATAGCAAAATATATACAGAAAAATTATAATTCCACTTAAATAAGTGGTTAATTAGAGTGTAAAATATTTTTTTAAGATAAAATTTGACAAATCCCAACAAGGGTGGAAGGGGGGTGGGGTGACACCATGACGTAAACCCGCTAATGATAGAGAAAACATGCTACATCAAGCTGTATTTATAACCGATGTTATGTCCGACCTCCGACAGCCGCGGAGGAAGCGGACGCCCCAGGTTCGTTTGGTATGGTACCGATAGAAGACGTTGTAACGGAATCTCAACAACTTGCCGTGAGCTCGTTAATGCAGTCTAGGGGTAAAACACGACAAATCGAAGAGACTCACACGACTTAAACTATGAATACCTTTTTAATTTATGTACAAGATAATGACACTAGGTAAGATCAAAATGTACAGATTCTCAGTGTAATATAAATAAACTCAACTCCAACTTACAGTTTGAGAAAAATCACAATATCACAGCTGTGATAAATCATTACTACACACAACTGAATGGCCTCATAATAATTACAACAAAAGACCAAGGAGAGACAATTTGCCTCTACAACAATAGAAATCCTTATACAGGTTAAACTATCACCGATAGTCAAAAAGGTGTAATAATACACCAGACCACAAATTCAGTAAACTACAACTAGTCACATAATTCCTTATACAAAAGGTGAAATCATGTCACAAAATAACAATACTGCAAAATGGCGTACCTAACCACAGGCACACCTCTCCTAGTCCAAAAGTCAATCTGGCGGCCTCTGGACTTGAGAATCCCGTGATTAAATACAACTCAGAGTAAGGGGAAATAACTCAAAAGTCTTACGACTATTGGTTGAGGGTCAGTCAAGGATCCTCACGGTCGCAAGTCCATTGGTTGAGGTTCTGCCAGGCATTAAACTTACCATCACATGATGTGACAGCGTTCAGTTGACCGGGTTGTACCAGTGAACTGACAATTCTCCCAAGGACAAATACATAACTCAGGAGATTAAATATACATAAAGCCAAACAGACCTAAGTAGGTCACATCCCCTCCCTTTTAGAGAGGCATTTTTGTTACACAAAAATGGCAATCACTATATGGAACACATCTGACACAAAAAATGTCCAATTATAGTAACTAACAAAATTTCTATGTCAATAAAAAACATCCTTAAAAATTAAAGGGAAACAATTCACCTTTTTACAATTTACCAAAGGGAAACAATCCTTCCCAAAATAAGAATACATCAAGGTTCCTTATGCAAAGGTAACAAAACATATCCATCTGGATATAACATGTGGGAAACTTACAACTTAATTCATTTATTTAAATATCTCAATATAACATCAAGTGCATAATGTGATACATTTTTATAACAACTCAATGCACATTAAACAAAACCACCTTTAAATAAGGTTCATTTGAAAATAACAGGCATTTTCAACAAGTAATCAGTTTTGGAAAAAACCGTACAATTCACATTCTGATTGAAAGCTTGGAACTCCAGCCACTAGGCTACAGTTTAATCAACCATAACATTTGCAAAATGGTTATAACTAACCAAAAAAGTTTCACAAGATCAATGTGAACCTCAAAAGTTGTTTTACATTCTTGACAAACAGTCAGCTACAATGTTGTCAGTTCCTTTAATATGGGAAATAACCAGATTAAAATTTTGGAAAAATAGACACCATCTTAAAATTCTATTGTTATTCTGTCCCAACTTAGTAGTGAACTTAAGAGGATCATGGTCAGAAAATACCATGACTGGATTTATGGAAGAGGTGACATAGACTTCAAAATGTTGTAAGGACAAAACCAAAGCTAAAGCTTCTTTTTCAATAGTGGAGTAATTCTTTTGATTCTCATTTAACTTTCTAGAGAAAAAGGCTATTGGATGATCGATCCCTCGGTTGTCTTCCTGGAATAAGACTGAGCCAATGGCTAAATTGCTAGCATCAATGGCAAGTTTAAAAGGCTTGCTGAAATCTGGTGCAGCCATAACAGGAGCATTTGATAAAAATGACTTAATGGTAAAAAAGGCTTCATGACATTTAGTTGACCATTCAAACTCAACACCCTTTTTCAATAAGGCAGTAAGTGGCTCAGCTACAGCTGAAAAGTTTTTTTACAAAACCGCCTATAGTAACCTGCCATCCCAAGGAATGGAGGGTAAAGTTTTAACTACCTGTGAGAATGTCTGATTCTCATTAGAAGATAAATGTTCAAGATGGTCTAACTGGGTCAACAATGGGAAATTTAACAATTTAAGCGTAGCATCATCAAATTTACTAGAAATACTTATATGTAACATAAACTTAGCTGGGGAGAAAGAGTTAGTGAGTTTACATGATAAACCAGTTGTTTCTTTCTCCGGTCTGGGAAGTAGGTGACGCAGTCCTTGGTAATCTTGTTAAGTGCTTCGTCTAGCACAAGAATCTGTTTCATCGGCCTGGGAAATATTTTGACTGGGATTCCCAACCAACTGACAGTTCTTACAATGTCTGCAATAACGGGTGTCATCGTTGTGCATTCTCGGCCAAAAGAACAGTTCATTTTCACCGTCGGGGTCTGTAGAGAACGGGTTCTGAACTTCCTGGGGGTGGACTTTGCTTCCCGCTAAGTCATTACCTAGGAGCAAGTGTACTCCTGGGACAGGTATGGAATCTATCACCCCAAGGATGACATCTCCTTGGATGAGCTGATGTCTCAGGTTGAACTTATGTAGTGGAACTACTGTTGGTTCAGCTCCCACTCCTTGAATGATGGTGACATCACCGGTGTTGGTTTCTGGAGCGATGTTCAATGAGTTTCTCAGCAAAAGTGACTGAGAAGCCCCAGTGTCTCTTAGGACTACGATGTTCCGCGATGATGTTGGGTCTCCAGGGTTGCTGATGACAGCATCTGTCATGAATGACTTGAAGCCAACAGTTCTCGATTCTTCACCATTGGTTGCTGCTGATGTAACCGGTTGGTGAAGAGGATAGTCATAAGATGACTGGACGCAAGTGGTGGGCACTTCGTTACCTCCCTGTGGACACGCTGGTGTAGGGTCATCACGACGGGCGAGGTTCACCTTTGGACTTGCTTGATGGGGGAGAGCGTAACGAGATGATGTTCGTACATACTCTCTGTTATCTCGCTGTCGCAGGAAACAGTTCTTGATGATGTGCCCAGGCTTGGAACAATAGTGGCAGATCAGTCGCCTGGCTGTGACTCTGGGTATCTGTGTTGATTGACGAGATCTCAGCAACTGGCCAGCAGGGGGATTGCTGCTGATGAGAGGTAGTACCGGATTGTATTTGGTACCAGAACCCTGTGACTTCTTATGCAACAGCTCGAAGGTATCAGCTGATTCTGCTGCCCTTTTGATGTCTGTTATTCGGTTATCCAAGATGTGTAGTCTGATCTCTTCAGGTACTGCGTTGAGGAAATCTTCTCTTAGTATCAGACTTCTGAGTTTGTCAAAGTCGTCGACATTCTCAGAATGGAGCCATCTTGAAAAGACTTTTTCTTTTTCAAAAAGGAACTCAACATAGGTTTGGTTCTGTTGTTTCCTAATTTTTCTGAACTTAATTCTGTAGGCTTCTGGAGTTATTTCGTAAGCCTTCAGAATGGCAGCCTTGACCTTTTTGTAATCTGACTGGACTTCGCGAGAGAGTGCCTGGTATGTGGTGGCAGCCTTACCAATTAAAGCAGTGCTTAGTAACGTTGTGACTACGTTACTAGGCCATTGACAACTTTCAGCCATGTTCTCAAATGTATTAAAAAATACGACAAGATCTGACTCATCAAACTTAGGGACTAATTTGCAAAACTGGGCCAATGTTTGGGCCACAGACAACTGAGAAGGACCTTCTGACCTCGAACTACTGTCAATAATACCAAACTCATATTCTAACCGCTTCATCTGAACTTCTCTTTCTAACTTTAGTCTGGCCTCAAACTCCCTATCAACAATTTCCACTTCCCGTGCCAAAACTTCAGAAAGAAGACCCTCATCTAGCATGCCTTCATTAATGAAGTAAACAATAACTTTGTCCTTCAACACCCTAGAGGTCTGAGTAACAATATAGTCCAGGTTTAACTTTTTGACAACTGTTATCAACTCTTTCCTACTTAAGTTCTCAACTGCTTCCACAGTAGGACTTAACAACAAAGCCTCCATAGCTAACAAGTAACAATGTTTACCTTCAACTGATAACAAAAACAACCACTCAAGAACTAGTTCAACTTATTCGCACTTCTGACCAAACTCTAGATCACAAACTCAAACTAGTGCCAAACTTGCACACAAATCAAAATACCGGTCGAGCCCTCACTTGTTATGTCCGACCTCCGACAGCCGCGGAGGAAGCGGACGCCCCAGGTTCGTTTGGTATGGTACCGATAGAAGACGTTGTAACGGAATCTCAACAACTTGCCGTGAGCTCGTTAATGCAGTCTAGGGGTAAAACACGACAAATCGAAGAGACTCACACGACTTAAACTATGAATACCTTTTTAATTTATGTACAAGATAATGACACTAGGTAAGATCAAAATGTACAGATTCTCAGTGTAATATAAATAAACTCAACTCCAACTTACAGTTTGAGAAAAATCACAATATCACAGCTGTGATAAATCATTACTACACACAACTGAATGGCCTCATAATAATTACAACAAAAGACCAAGGAGAGACAATTTGCCTCTACAACAATAGAAATCCTTATACAGGTTAAACTATCACCGATAGTCAAAAAGGTGTAATAATACACCAGACCACAAATTCAGTAAACTACAACTAGT